TCAAATGCCGGCTGAATTAGCAACTCTCTCCTCTCCTTTAAGGAGGCTTTCAGTGATGCTCAAACCACCAACTTTCTTTTGTATTTCATTGGCTAAAACTTAGGTATAAGGACACTGCGTCTACAAGGGAGGATAGCGAATGTAGTTTTTCAGCCAGATACATGGCTACCTTTAACAAAAGCAGGATTCTATTAGTAAGAATTAAGGGCAAATGAATAGTAGGCATGCAGAGAGAAGTCTGTCATACATGACCTTACATTGTTTGAGGATTAGGAAGAAAATTTCACTGTTTTAAATACTTGGCACATTCTAAAATGAGAAAGTTTGGAAGGAGGGATCGTTTTGGGGAAAAGTTGATGAATCTGCTTTTAGATATTTGAGCTTCAGTCGAAGATCTTGCAGCCATCCGGAGTAATTTACAAAATCTCAGGGAAAGGATGGAGGCTGGATGTGGAGGTTTCGAGCTGTCTGCATAGTAAACAGATAGGGCAAAAGCTTTAACTGCTGTTGCTGCAAACATAAGCAAGTGATCTAATTGGTCACTCCTACATACGGTGAAAGAGGCCAAGTGTTTTAGGCTGTAATTTGCAGAAACTAGAGGGATCGTTATGAGTCCACACACCGCTGACTGCATCAGAAGGTACATTGATGTTAATTCTGGTTCTTGATGAGAGAAACATCCGACTCTTCCTGTTCAGCCTCTAATTGCCTCGGGCACTGGGCGCTGCGTTTCTGGTCCCTAAGCCAGTGGATGCTGAGAGATGCTGCAGAGAGAGTGCTCCTCCAGGCTCCTCGAGGGCCTCTCTTTTCTTTTGGCTCATTCAGCCCTCCCTCCCAGATTCTAGTTCAGAGAGATTTTGCACCTCTCACTAGAAAAAACGTTCCCACATTTTATTTCTCTTGGATTGTTTTTCTCAGTTAACCTTATACATTAGCTAATGCCTCCTATCTTTTGCACATCCAGAGGGGCTGGTAGAAAATAGGGAACCCCTTTAATACTGGGTGATTCCAAGTCCTTGTGATTAAGAAGCATAATAACCACAACTATCCTGGCCAGTGTGTTCATTACCTCTTGTTCTTGCTGGGGCCTGCCCTCTCCTCTCAAGCCACTGTCTTATTCTCTCCTTCCCTCCCCACATATATCCAGACTTCCCTCATCAGACTCTTGGATAGCAATGTGTTGTTTTCATCCCAAATATTTATTACAGGTTGATATTTTAAAACTACTTTCTATATACTATGTTTCCTGAAATAGAATGTCACCTGCAGGTGCTCAAGAATAATCGCTGATTGCATGAATAGTGACAGGGAGACATGAAGTAAGAATGTTAGAATAATTTACAAGTTACCGAATATGTGTGTATGAACCTGTGCTATTTAGCGAGACCTATGTGAGAATTATAGCTATCAAACACTTAAGTGGATGCTACATGGTTTATGATTTAGAAATTATTAATATTCGTATTATAGAAACTTTGGTGTCGATTGTTTTTCAAAACATATTGAGGCCTAGGTGATAACTGGATCCCCAAAAGATTAGAAAATTTTTTTATGAGGTGAATAGAAGTTGGAGACATTTAACTTATTAAATGAATTTTCAAGTTTCATGTCCTTTATTTTAAACCTGGAAACTTTGAAATGATTGATAATAGAGGCAAATGTTATAGTCACTGACTATAGTTCTGTGGGGAATTAAATGAACTACCTTAGATATATGTCAAGTTCAAGGCCTGTTTGCTTTGCTATAATCTACAAGTCTATTTGTTCCTGAATATGCAAACATTATCCTAGTGATTTGAAAAAAAATTCAGGCTTTTAGTGTTGACCTAATTGATGCATGAGTCATGGGTATTATGTTATAATCCTCTTGTCAAACGTAAATATCAATTCTATCACCATTGGATAAAATATATATGTCTATATATACATATGTATATGTCTATTCCTTGCATACATATCATACATATGTGTATATATGTATATGTTTAATATATATATATACATACACATAAATGAACACATATATACACACACATATATAAAGTTACATATACATTATGTTAACAATATGAAATATTGACATATAATGATTTGACTTGCAGCATTTCAGAGAAAAAAAATGTAGCCTTTCTATGTAATTGAAACTTAAAGTCTATTTGTAACATTAAATGAAACCATCTCTTATTTTTAAGGCTGCCATGTGGAAAATGGAGTGCACACAGTAAGAATGGAAATATGTTTATAAAGGGTAAAATAATGCAAAACTAGGCTAAAGTGGTAGCAACTTGGACTAATAGTATCGAGAGCAGATGTTGAGAAATTATATGCAGATGTAAGAAAGAAAATCAAATCAAGGACAAATTCCAGATTTTTATTTTGAGCAATCGAGTGACTGGTGGTGTCATTTACTTGGATGGGAAAGGTGGGAGGGGGAGGTGGTTTTTGGGCGACTGTAGGAATTATAACATAGGTCTGGACATTTCAGTTCATGTTTTATAGCCACGTGGTGATATTAAGTAGGTGACCCAGTACATACGTAGTGGGCCAAGGAGATTGTATATAAATTTGGGAGCAATGAAAAATGTAGAAGGTATTTAAGGCATGGAACTGCATAGATTACCAAGGAAACATGTTTATATAGAGAGGAGGATCCATGGGAGAGAGAGGTTTGGGGAGTTCAAGTGGTTCAAGAGATCACAAAGAGGAGGTTCGACTAGCCAAGGTGTGTGAAAACGAACAGATAGTGAGGCAGGAAAAAAGCAGGGAAGGCGTGTATTAGTAAAGGCAAAAGGAGAATGTTTTGAGGAGGAGCGAGTGGTCAGTTGTACATCTGGGTGAGAGAGTTAGTAAGAACAGAGACATGAGCAATGAACGTGACAACGTGGAGGCCATCGATGAACTTGACACGAATGGAGGAAACTAGTTTTTTAAAGTAGAGAACGTATTTGTCTTTGGTTCTAATAAAGCTGTATACGAGGAAAACCCTCTAACTCCAAGGAAAAACATTCCCGAGAAGGTCAGATCAGGTGAGATGGGCAGCTTCAGTGGACTGGTTCGATTTTGATTTGCGTAGACACTTAGCTATAGCAAGAGGATGGGAAGGAGAGCGTAGGAGGCATCTCAGCTGGGACTTGTTTCGCCTCTGGCATCCCATGGGGCACAGCTCTTACAGAGGAGAGTGAGTATGTGTGGTATTGCCATCACCATTTCCAAACTATTTGATTTTCTTTCCCCTTCAGAACTCTTAACTGCTCTGTAGAATACACCATCAGACGTTACTCAAAATCGTCCATGTTGCTGTCAACCACCAAACATGCAGTGAGCACGCCATTCTTTGAGGATTTCATACCCAGATCATTTTGTTCCTTCCCACCATTATTCTTGGCATGATAACTGATTCAGCTACACCCACGACCCATCAGACTTGTTGGTCTCAAATTTTTTTGGCTTCTCGAATCCATGATCCGTTCTTCTGCCCCAGTTCAGTCCTGGGTTCTCATGAGCATGCCCTGGGCTTGTCAGCTCTCATACGTACACTACTGTTGAAAAGCTTCTTCGAGTATCATACTCTGTTCCCACCACCTCCCACTCTAGCAATTCCGTGTCGTGACAAAGACCTACAACCTGTTGATGCTACTAGCATCTTCTCAGCATCTGCCGTTTATTTCCTCAGTTAGAGCATGGGCCTTCATTCTTACCACTCCTGCACATATGCCCCTGTCCTCCTAAACCCTCTCTCCTCTCATTGTCCACACTGGTTAAATCCGACCCTCTGCCTTTTATGCACCTTCAAATACACAGAGAAGAGTGAAGCAAGGCAGACAAACAGGATGACTGGTTTTACGTTAAATTAATGACTACAAACCTCAAAGGGGCAATCCACAATTCTTAGCTCTTCCATTATACTTTCCTGTGTGTGTGCGTGATGTCCATTCTAAAAAAAATTTGCTTCTCTCTACTGTTCAAAACGCCTTCTCTCTGCTATCTCAGCTGATAACCTTATATCGTATCTCATCGAGAATATAGAAGCCATAAAAAAAGTCCTCATATTCTCAGCACCAAAACATATTACTGCACAAAAACAGTACTTGTTAATCAATAATATGGTTTATTTTCTAATGTTTTCAGATGCCTCCTCTTTTGTTTTCATGTTTCTTGCATTTTGTGATACAGCAGAGTAGATGAATCTATTTAATAGTTGAGAACTACTACGTAAACTTAAAATACTTGCTTAACCCAAATTGAGTGTGTATCTGTTTATCTGTTTGCTCTTTTATTTGTTTAATTTTTTTTTTTTTTAACGAGAGCTGTTATTTCACCCAAATAGAAAAACTATGAGTGGAACCTTAAGATAGGCATTTAAGAGGAGAAAGTGAATTTCTTTATGGAATAAGTAATTATATGGAGTAGAAGAATACAAGTATAGCAGTGGTATTTTACTAAAGTTTGGATAGTGGGTATTTTGTGAACATTTTTAATACAAAATGGCCATGCAATAGCCATGCAATTTTGACACGTATCTAAAGAACCCAATTCAAGATCCCTGAGTGAGAGATGCACACACACAAAAAAAGAGTTAAGATCAGGCTTGTATTATTAAGATTGATGTGAATGGGCAAGATGTCTACCTGTGTTTCATTTTCGAGGGACCTATAACCATGGCCAGGGCTACTAAAGCGATTACAAACGGTTTTTAGAAGCCAAAATAATAATAAAAATGAATTATTTGAAGTTTATAATGGTATATTCAGAGCTGCTGTGAAGCTAACTATACAAAGGTGTTTATTTTGTACTGCCTGACAGAAAAGCAAAGAGATTACTGACAAGCAGGCTAAGAACCAACTATAACACTGGAGAAGTTCTAAACTAAGCATTCCGTTATGTTACTCATATGACAGATCGTGGAGTCAACAGGATTTGGTGATTGGCTATGCAATTAATGAAATAAATTTAGCAAATTATAATCATAAATGAAGGGTTTTTTTTTAATGTTCAATTAGGTATTCAATCGACAGAAACACAGACTTGGAGAGATACTTCAATATTGATGCCAACAGTGGAGTTATTACAACTGCCAAATCTTTGGATCGGGAGACAAATGCTGTTCATAATATCACAGTCCTTGCAATGGAGAGCCGTAAGTTGTAGGTTTAAAATTAAATTGGGATGGATGCCATTGAGAGCGGAAAATGGGTCGTCAGAAAGTTATCATTTCAACTCGAATTATATTAGGTGATTTTTTCAATTGAACAGAATCCTGAACGTTAAGTCACGAAACATTAGTATTTATTAATTTTATACTTATATGAAGTTAAGGAAAAGAAAAGACTATAATATAATGGGCCCGGATTACCTTCAGAGAGCTTCTTGTTGTTGTGTGGTCATATTTCACATGACGCATTTATGCTGATATGAAATTGGTTGAATAGTTTACAAAAATTAGTAAATTGATCTCTAACCAAGATGCCCAGATTGGCATATTCTGATATCGAACACATTTTAGTCTCTGATAAGAAAACTTTGAAAGAACGATGCATAATTATAATGTATTGTGTCATATGTGTATTATATTCATATATATTCACATATGTAACATATATATTGTATATGTATATTCATAGACATAACTCTAGTATCAAAGAATATTGAAATGCATGGGTTTTTGGTCATTCTTTCAACAATTTTCTTATCAGGGACTAAAAACAGCATACACTGTCTAGATCCAGATATATGACATTTGGATCAAATTTTTCTATAGTTCCCTTTAAAGTCCACAGTGTTATGATTCTAGATTTTGAGGACTGGCCATTTTCCTTATTAGACTCATGCTTTGGATAGCCAAACATTCTTGGTTGATTCTAATTTTTAATATGTTTCCTGAAAAATAGGAAACTCGCATTAAAGAGTTTGAGTAAAAGGCAGTGGAATAACAGCTTTACTCTGAGAATAAATGATAAAACCTTTTCCTCTTGATTAGAGAATCCATCTCAAGTAGGCAGAGGCTACGTGGCCATCACTATCCTGGACATCAACGACAATGCCCCTGAGTTCGCGATGGACTATGAGACCACCGTCTGCGAGAATGCCCAGCCAGGGCAGGTAAGAAGCTCCCAAACACCATGCTTCTAGTTTGTGATTCTTTCAAAAGAACCAGCAACCATTGCCTTTGAAATACTGCCAGCTTTAAGATGAAATAGCATCAGCATGTTTCAGCAAAAGTAACACTTTGATGTGTAGCATAAACTAATATTAAAGGCACTTTCAAATGCTGATTTAATTGGGATGATGAAAACCCCTCAGGAAGAAAGGTAAACATTGTAAAAGCCGTGATGAACCTTAAGGGCTTAACCTCTGTTAAGGAGGCACGTAGCACCTTGAGCTTGACAGGGCTGCTTCCCACCTCAGAGCAGGGCTGCAGCGCCTTGAAGTTGAGAGTCAAGTGCAGTTTAATCTCTGTGTGGCCTGTGCTACTCATCCGTATTGTTCATTGCCTTGTGATCTTTACCAGGATGGAAGCGGTACAGCTTATTTCTGAGGTTCACAAAGGTAAACTCAGACGTGAATTCTGAAAAGGACACGATTTGTTTCTCAAAGCCCTTTTTAGATTGGGTTCATATTAGGACATCGGCTCCTTCCCCCAGCTCACTCAGGTAGATGGTACTTCTTACAAGGAGTAAAGCCGCTATCCTGCCTCGGGAAACTCAGCAGAGCACGCCGACGTGCCCTCGTGATTCTCGTCCTCTGTCCCTAGGTTATCCAGAAAATCAGTGCCGTGGACAAAGACGAGCCTTCCAGTGGACACCAGTTTTATTTCAGCCTAACTACTGACACCACGAACAACCACAACTTCTCACTGAAAGACAACAAAGGTAAGGTGTCATTACTGTCACTGGTGGAGGCAGCAGGTGCAGACTCTGAGGGAGCGCTTTGCTCACTCAGGGATGCCGATGACGGATTTTTTTGATATATCAGTAGAGACCTTAATTAAAGGGCAGTAAGCCCCTCGCGCCATTTTTATCTGTGGATTTACTGTCATGAAAAAGCTGCTGCTACTTAAATATTTTAGGCCTGAATGGGGGCAGGGAAACCAGATCCATCTCTCTATGTCATTTCTCCCAGACATTTGCTTTCTAATTTGTTTATTATGCTCTTGATCTAAATTATCGAATTGGCTGAGGGTCGCCTAAGTGCCTTAATCAGGACTGTCCTAAATAGGTGTAACTTGAGACATCCAGAAAATGATTGAACTTCACACATTTCAACCTAAATCAACTTTGGCTTTATGTTTTTAATGCTAACATCAGTTATTCTTTTATTTTAACCTAAAAAACAAAAGTAATGCATCCAAATAATATAAAATATACTCTTGATGCAAATAAATAAAAAATAAGAAAGAAAAAAGAACTCCCTATCATCCTAAATCCCATCATTCTGTTTCAAAGGTAAATACTCATCAGTTTCCTAAGGGTCACGATAGAAACGTTTTTACAAATACCTGTAAGTAAACGGTTTTGCTTGGATGTACATATAGATATAGGTACAGATCTATATCTATGTATGATTATAGATATATAAAGAGTATATAGACAATATAAGAACTTTTAAAGGAAGTTTGAGAACATGCTATGTATCGTGTAAATGTGAATTTATATATTCACATGGGTTTCCATTCAAGGTATTTATTTAGCAGGAGAGAGAGAGAGAGAGAGAGAAAGAGAAGTCTTTCCCCGCAATATAGAAAATATAATTCTTTCAGTTTGAATGTGTGAATCAGGTTTTGGGGTGGGGGAAATGTAGAAATAGAATCGCTAGTCAGATACTGGCTTATCTAAAAAGACCTGCTCTTGAGATGGACACTGTAAGTGCTTTTACCTGAAGCCACCACCTTCTTTAGTGCAGACAAGCAAGCCACTTTGGCCTCAAAAATTCAATCCAAAAAGAATTGTTCCTGATTCCCTTCCCTGCTTAATGAGAACGCTATCGTGTGCCCCTAGCATTCCCCACGTGGGTAATCCCAGACCCTCTGGCTTACCCATAGTTGGCCAGGGCGGCATGTTCAGCAACTGTACTCATCTAGCACAAATTCAGAGAGGGGAATTTTCGATCTTCCTAAGAAGAGTATGAATATTTCCCCAATATGTCATCATCCAGTACCACCATGATTGCTGGACAGCACGTGCACTAAAATGTCTGGATTTTCAGGACACAAATGAAAGACTTCCTTAGGTCCGGAGCTCCCTAACCTAGGCCTTGAAGGAAAACACGTAGGAGTAGGTAGAACGTCAGTTATTACGTTGGCTTTCATCTTAGGAAGCACGTGCGGACCATGAAGAGTTTTATGATCTCTTTGCTGAACATAGAATTCTCTTGCACAGTAGGCATCTCAGCATGTGCTCCTCAGTATGTTGTGTGTGTGCGTGTGTTATCTGATGTCAGGCATGTTAGCTTACTAATCAACAACTTTAAAAAGACTGCATCGAATAACATCTGAATGGCTGGGAGGCAAAGACATAGACGTGTGTGTGGTGTGAACTGTATAGAAACGTACTCAAGAAAGCATCCCTCAATAACTCCGTGTGTAGTTTTTTTAAATAAATGGCTCTCAGATTCATACATTTTAAAATAAAAGATGTGTTTACATAAAAACCTATCAGACGAAATCTGAGAATCAAAGTTTTTTTCCTTTTACGTTTTAATTGCAGGTTATGTGCATTCTGCAGTCTCACTTGAGCTTGCTGTGTTGTGCTCTTTGAGACAATAGATTTCAGCTTTCCATTTCATTAGAAAATTGTTAATTCTTTTATGGCAACATTGGGTAAATATCTTGGAAAGGAAATCCGTATTAAAGCGCACTGGGCAAATCTCTGGTCCTAGTTTTCCTTCCTTTATTTTTATTAATTGCTATAAATTTAAAGAATCACATAAATTCCTAATTAGCTAATTAAGACAAGTTAGCTAGATAAATTGCTAGCAAATAAAAAAATCTATTTTAGATAGAGAAATCATAGTTTTACGATGCAAACATTGATTATTATTAAAAGTTTCATAATTACTATAATTGTTAGATGAAATAAAATATTAAATATAAATGAACACAAATGACTCATTTTATCACTGACACGATGTTTATATACATGAGGTTTTGGTAATGATATATACCAATATGGATTTTTAAAAACTATACAATAATTACTCTCTTGAATAGCTATGCATACTCAATTCAAAGTAAGCAAGAGTGGTGTATTTCACTTGTTTTTATATTGGGCTTGGAATTTGTCAAAGAAAAGATGGATTGGAAATATTTATGCTATCTGATGACGCTCCCAAAATAATCACCTGTTCATTTTTATTATAAGTATAGTTTGAAATTTAACGTAAGTAAACCGATGTGTCACGCGTAATTTTTACAAAGTTAGTTAATTTAAGTGCTGCATAGACATTTTCATAGTTTTACTTTATAACTGGTTATAAGCGTATAGCATGACAAATGTATTAAGATGTAGCAATATCTGGAAATATGGCTCTCTGTCAAAAGAAACCAGTGACAAGCGAGACGAAGTTTGGCGGGACCGAGCCCATCAGAGATGGTATTACCCCTTGATTTCTCCTTCCCAGACAACACGGCCTCGGTCCTGACCCGGAGAAACGGCTTCCGGAGGCAGGAGCAGTCGGTGTACTACCTGCCCATCTTCATCGTGGACAGCGGCTCGCCTTCGCTCAGCAGCACCAACACGCTCACCATTCGCGTCTGTGACTGCGACGCGGACGGCGTGGCGCAGACCTGCAACGCGGAGGCCTACGTGCTGCCCGCGGGGCTCAGCACCGGCGCGCTGATCGCCATCCTGGCCTGCGTGCTCACCCTGCTGGGTAGGTGCTCCAGGGCCTCGCCCGTCGGTGCGGTCTCAGGAGCGGGGCGGGGCGCGACTTTCTCCTATCCTATCAGCAGTACCTTTTTGAAGACATATGAAAAATATTCTATTCGATGGTTTTTTTGCTCACCGAGCAGCCCAAGGACATGATGCACTTTCCGGTGGGACATCTAAAATATAACTCAAGGAAAATATCAGTTTTATTTTTAAAACAACAATGAAGGCAAAAGGCTTATCTTTAAAACTGAATTTTTTTAAGGTTCTTTTCTTTTTTTTTTTTTAATTTACCACATCTCATTCGTTGGCTGTAGAAAGTTCTCTGCAGGGGAGACATATTACGAAGAATATTTTCTATGTCGTGTTGATAATACGCTCATTTTAGAAATCGTTTTATATTCTACCTCTTTTCAGAAAAGGTTTAAGGTGGATTTTATAATTATTTGCAAATTTTAAAGGATTGCCGTTTCAGCAGTACAGAAGTCATAATTTCCAAGGAAGAGCTAACATATTTAAGTGTACTCTTCCATGATTATTACGTGCTGAAATTAGATTTATAACTCCTATTAGAATCACCATTTTATAAGAGATTATGCAACATCCTTTTAAAAACTGGGAGGCATCCAGCGTGGGCATCGGGCAATGGGTTTATTCCTTAGCTACTTCCCCCTTCGCAGTGTAACTTCCTGCAGGGAGGACAGCAAGCATTCAGTATTGCATCTGACACTGCACCATGTGTCTGCTTGGGATGTACTATAATTTCTAAATCCATGTATAATGTAGTTTTGTCAAAGTAGAACTCAGTGATGGAAGTCATCGCCGTGTCGTGTTTAGAAACAGGATTTATGGGATTAGGTAAGCCTAGTGTTTGTTACTGCCCTGACATGCGCCTGTTCTTCACTAGGGGACCTTAATTTTTCTAAGTCTGGCTTCTCAATCTAACAAGGAAAAATAATAGAACTAGACTTAATTCATGTGCCTACCATAAAGTGAACATGTCATAAATTTTAAGTGTTATTGATGAAGCAAGTTCTCAACCTATTAACCAAGCTAAGCCTTACTTACTAATATACTGTAAATGATCTCATAAAAAATGGAAGTTATCGTCAATAACTTCAGAAAATCAAATAAATCTAAAAGGGAATAAAGTGTTTTTTTTTTTTCATATAGCTTCACATGGCAGAAATTCATTAGAAATGAGAAGTAATTCTCAATGAAAGTTTGATTAGAATGCGAGGCCTAGAATAAATTTTGGAGAAGATGGAACCATTGCAAAGTACTTTTTATTCCTCTACCGGGTTCCAAAATGTAATAGTAAAGATGTAAATTGCGTATTTGTTTTGTAATAGCTGAATAACCTAGATAAGAAGATATTTTCCTTAGTATTTAAAATGGCAGTGTCTTTAGCTCAAAAGCATGGTCAGAAAAAAATGAGGAGATAGGTAGATGGTAAGTAGATGACTCTGAACTTGACCAGTTCATCACAAAATAATTTAGATTACACTTTAAAGGGATAAGATTGTATTCCCCAGAATATATTCATACCCAACAGTTAATTAATGTTTGATTTTTTTTAAAGGTTATCTATCTAATGAAGCTTGCTTCATTTTCAGAGAATATTTTCACCTGTGACTTAGAGATTCATTGCAGTTTGTGTTGCTTGATGATTCTAATTAGTTAAGAATCATTAGCTAGCAGTTACTGAAAGTGAATTAGTTTTATAAGATTTCAGTCTTGCATACGACATATATGTGAGAGCGTGTGTATACATGTATCATGGTGAGATGGTAGATTTGGGAGACTTTGTCAAAATTTAAGCATGACTAATCTTTGTTAAATTTGAACATTTTCCTTAAATAGACTCCAGATTAAGAATGCCTTTTCCACTTTTAAGGATCAGGTTTTTATGTTCTATATTTTATTCAGTTTTTGAAAGTTTCAGCAAGTCTACAAAAAATATGTCAAAACCGCTCCTGTCATACTAAAATACCGTTTGGAGCCTGGGCTCCTGCCTACAGCTTCCATTTCCTGTAGGGCCTCTCCCGCTAACCAGTGTGTTTTAAGATTAACGTGTTCGGAAGTGGGTCTGAGTCTTATTTCCTAAGTCTTTAGAAGCAGACCGTCAGGATTTTTCTTGCTCTCTTTTGTCCTGTCTCCTGTATTTACTATTATTATCGACTCTGGGTTTTCGTGATGGGCGTCGAGTGCCCACGGGGGTGCTGCCGCGTGCACAGCCTGTGTGCAGCCTGATTTGTGGTGCACACACGACCCGTTCCTCACACCACCTCTGGCAGCGGTAGGACTCTCATTTCTAGACACTGAGTATCAGGATGTGTAACTCAAACCTCTTCAGGCCTCTGAGCAAATATCGCTAGAGAAGAGCGAGGCGAACAGGTGGGAGTGGGGAAGAACAACTTGAGAATCGAGTTCAGTTTCAGGATGACAGTTGAGAAGCATCTGGGCTTTAGGCTTCTCAGAAAAGAGTGCTTTACTACATGGCAGTGTATGTTCTGGTGATGTGACAGGTGAGGCTACTTGTCACCCAACAGAAGGGGCTACCCCGACGCTCCCCGAATGCGGAATCGGTTTCCGAGGCTGGATTTGTGTCTCCGTCGGTCTCTGTGCTTCCAGCTTTATGGGTGAAGTCCGGATTTCGCTCATGCTCAGTCTTACGTTCACCTCTTTAACTTCCTCGCACCTGGAATCTGAAATGAAGAGATGATCCCAAATTAGAAGATGAGGTTTCCTTTCTTTACAATGAGTACAACTCGAAGGGGACATTATCATCACATTCAAGGTTCCTGATAAAGTTGTCAGTCAGATGCCTCAATAATTATTTTTCATGCATAAAAATTTCACTCATATTTGGCAAGATACGCTTGTATTCTAACGCTTGAATAATGTATTTTGTCCCCAACTCTAACGCTATGTTCATCATGCATTTTAATCAGTTGAATTATTGATATACAGTTATCTTTCAACCAGGATGAAAACACTTAAAAAATTCTGCGAATGACTGATACATTAAATTGTTACCTCAGTGTACTTTTAGAGATAATCAGAGAAAGGATTTCAGTTGTTTTAAGATATGGTTTCATTATGAAATGTTGTAGATTTATTCAGAGGATAGCACAACTTGATTCCGTTATATAGACAAAGAAGCTTTTATCCTGCTCACGAAAAGTGTCCCGGAATTTATCGTATTAAGTTTTGCCTTTTCCTCCAGTTGGACCTTTAGATCCATATAAGTGAAGTCCTGTAACATTCTCTCCACCTCTCGGCCCTTCAGGCACAATCGGGATTAGTTAGCCGGGCCCAGCTTCAGGTTTCACGAGGCATCTGTGGGCACCGCTGCTTACTGCAGGGAGGCCAGCTAGACATGTAGCTGCCATGCATCTTTTCTCTTTTCTTCCCTGATCTACCAAATGCTGAACCATATTTTCTTTCCTGTGACTGTGGCCACTCGTGATTTTGTTCGACAGGAAAAAAAAGAAAAAAATTCCCGGTTATGTAAGTGATAGTGAAAAATCTATCATCTATCGGATTGCTGAGAAAAAAACCGATAATGGTGTGTAAAAGACCGATCCCCATCACAGCGTAGAATAGGACACGTTTGGCATAGCAGCCCTAGTGACCGTGCCGGGGGACAGCAGGGGCTAATGTGTGGTAGCAGATGTGATCCTTTCAGGGAAATGCGAGGCGTGGGAGAAAATGCATTACATTTAATGAGCTCATACTAAGTGCGAGACATTAGCTAAGTGCTTTACAAACATTGTATAATGTAATTCTAATAACACTTTCTACACAGGTATTACTAAGTAGTATTATTATGCTTGCTTTTTATATGAGAAAACTATAAATTAGAGAAAACATGCACCCAGTTATAGGATGTCAGCGCCAGGACCCAAACACAGACGAGACTGCCTTCCGGACACCCTTTCTAAGGTATTTTTCCCTATGTGTTTCTCGATTTAAAAGAGCTATATCTCCAGGACATGCCCATGGCCTGTGGGCACCGCAGCGTAGGTCTGCCACATTAGAGGCAGCGGTATCTTTGATCTGTTTCATACAGCGGCTTTACCACATCTTTGGGTAACTCCGATTTAAATTATCCTCCAATTACTCCCAGCCTTGAGAGAACACATTTAGAATCATGTATGTTAAATTTGAAATTATACTTCGGTACAACCGAAATGTAATATACCAATTATCTTTGTGCATAAAGTAGGCAGTGTCTTTTCTCTCTGTCTTACTGGAGACTCATATGAAACCATTCTTACTCACATAATGGAGAGGAGCTTTGTGAATCTCGTTTAGGGGGAAAGGAGGGATAATTCCAGTTATAAGGAAAGTTTTCTCTGTCTTGGGACATAGAGAGCAGTGTCTGCTTTGTGCAGCCCGCTGGCCAATCTCTGGTGAAGATCTGTTACTGGAGACCTGGGAGAACACAGCCATCGGTCTATGGGACTGACTGCTGACATCAGAAATCTGAATGGAATTAGCAAATATCGAACCATTTCCCTGCATTC